ATGCATGTATTGCCAACACAGCGCTGGGTGCTTTTAATTAGCATGGCTTGCTAATTAAAAGCTCCCGGCGCTGCGTCGGGTGCACATGTAAAAATGCCCAGGGTTATGAACCCCTACTGTACAACTGTCACAGAAGCCTGAAGACCATATTTCACTCAGTTAGATTGCTGACTTCCTTGTCTTCAGGAGGAATTTTGCTGTCACCAGTGCACTTTGTACAGATCTTTTGCAGATCTAAATAGTTCCAACTGTTAACACCTCAGATTTGTGCTTGAGTTGAATGGCAGGTTAAAACATGTGGCACTATAACAGGGATGGGCAATTATTTCGGAGGGCCGCTTACCCAGTTTTGGCAAGTTGTCAAGAGTCGCATGAGTAGCCCTGCCCCTTGACAGATGCCCCAGTCACCATCTTGAGACCAGTGTCCCAATGTCTTGGGACCAATGTCCCAGGGCCAGTGCTGGCAGGGCCCAGAGCGGGGCACAGGCTGGCAGGGGTCTGTGGAGCTGGGCTGGGCTGCACCACCAGGGAGATGGGGGAGCTGGCCTGGCTCTATAGAGCCCCTGCTGGCTGGGACCCTGTACTGCTGCCTTGCTCCGGGCCCCACCGGCGCTGGCCCCGGGACACCAGTGTGGGCCCCACGCTCCTGTGTCCACTTACTCTCAGTACCCCCCTCAGCCCCACAGTACAGGCAGGGGGCAGCACTCAGTCCTGACCCCGTGCTCGCCAGCAAGGAAGGAGCTGGTGCTGAGTGGAGGGGGGCAAGGGGGGGAAGTGGCCCCTTCCTTGCCCTGTGGCTGGCGCTCCCTGCTGCAGTAGCTCTCAGCCCACGCAGGGCTGTCCTGACCAGGCACAGGCAGCCCCATGTGGGCTGTGAGCAGCTGCAGCGTGGAGCACCAGCCACAGGGCAGGGGCGGAGTAGCTTTTCCCTGTGCTCAGCACCAGCTTTTAACCCACCCCTGCTGCCAGCCTGGGCCCCGCACCAGCTCTGGGCTCGCCTGTTGGGCATATGCTGTGGCAGCAGCAGCTGCTCCGTCTGGAGGAAAGTGGCCCCCCTGCTTGCTGCGCCAAGCAGTGTTTGCTGCTGCTGCCTGCCTAGAGCTCGCATGCTGGGCAGCACAGACGGGCAAGCCTGGAGTTGGCACAGGGCCAAGACTGGCAGCAGGGGTGGGTTACAAGCTGGTGCTGAGCGTGGGGAAAAGCAGCTCCCCCCCGCCCCGTGGCTGGTGCCCTGCGCTGCAGCCACTTGCAGTCCGCGTGGGGCTGCCTGTGCCTGCTCAGAACAACCCCGTGCAGGCTGCGAGTGGCTGCAGCAGGGAGTGTGGGCCACGGGGTGGGGGAGGAGCTGCTCTTCCCCCCCGCACTCAGCACCTGCTCGTTCCCTGACTGCGGTCCTCCCCTACCCTTCCCCCCTCCCACCTGAGTTTCCTGCGCCAGTGTAGCCACGAGGAGCCACATGGTCCCAGGCCAGAAGCCCCTGCTGGGGCTTCCGGCTGGGGGAGGGGGAGGGGGGTGTAGGGCTGGGCAGGCCCTGCTGTTGCAGGAGCCTGCCGGGGCTTCCCCTGGGTCCTACTGCCCCTGGTTTCTGTAATCTTGGACAGGAACCAAGGACAGATAAATATTAATTTTCTAAATTTTTTTTAGGGGCCCTGCAGGCCGGATAGAATGGCCTAGCAGGCCGGATTTGGCTCACAGGCCATATTTCCCCACCCCTGCACTATAAGAAGGGAGACTTCAATCCCGTACATTTACTCCTAAGTTCAAATGTCTCCCATAATTCAGTGAGGTACATCCTTATAAAACCTAAGTAAATGCACCTTGAATACATGCTGGGATCCCTGTGTGTGTCAGGACAGGGATAGAATCATCCCCTTTCATACAGCATGTGAAGTACTAGCACAGTCATTCAACAGCTGCAACCAAAGCCCCTGGAATTGAATAATGGACATTGCCTCAACTGTTCCACTCGTGGACAAAGGTTTTATCTCACAGATGTACACAGTAGTAGACACACTGTTGTCACTCATTCTTGAACCCTTCTTTGCTGCAGAGAGACCTCTCTTACAGCACTGCTTTAATTGTGCAAGGAAGAGGGAATCTTTGTCTAGAAGCAGTGAAGGATATGGAAAATGAAAACCAGTGAGACATTAAGGCTGGTGAGAGAACCAACTTTGACCACCATTACCTTCCCCTGCAAATCCCTCAGTGTCACTTGGAGAACCACCAAATCCAACTTTTTCATTTGGCCTCATAATTTAGGTTCCTGTCCTGCTGGGTTTCTTCTTCTGTTTTGTTCTTTTAAAAAAACCCACAGTTTAAAAGTTAATTGTTTCCTGCAGAGCCACATTCATTGTATGTAGAGTCCTACACATCCATGAATATGTGGGAGGATTCAGAGTGGAAAAACAGATGCATGTAGACAGATGTTGCTTATGTTTTATTTTGTTCTGTGTGGGTTTTATATAAAAGAGGAGAAATACCCTTACCATTATTTTTCTTGCTTCAGGAATTTTTCCCTTTTGCTTTTCATCCTTTCATTGGGTGGTTGAAGTTTTTTGGATAGTATTCTCTGAAGGAACTGTTATTTCTTACTTATAATCTTGGCAGAATAATGACTCATTTAATTTGTTCATTTGTGTTAGGCAAAGGTGTTATTTGTAAAATGGAGCAAACACAGAACTCTAGTAAAATAGTCTATTGACAGAACCTTCCTGTGTGTCTCCATGCAGATGTTAGGGAAGATAAAGGAACAAAATCCCGATTCTTTTGGTCACGGAGGAAGTAAAAACGAATCCATTCTAAATATCTGAGGAGAGCACCCGGAGGCTCATAGGTGTAAAGTTTTTAAGGGTATTTGAGCCAGAGAGGGTATTTGAGCCAGAGAGGTTCTTGTTAACATGAAGAGCTTCTGTGTTTACATGCTTCCATCACCTGTGTTCTGTTCCCTTGTGTGGATGTCTCATCTGATGTGCTACACACTTAACCTAGTGCAACAGAGAAAGGGGCAGTGACAGTCACTTGTTATCTTCCCACAGCTGCAGTCATAAATTGTAACACATAAATGCAGTTCTTGGAGAAACAGTATAAGGTAATTGATAACTCAATGTGAATTTAACAGTGCATAGAAATAAATCTTTTTCTGGTTTTTAAAGGTCAGCAGCAGTGGCAGGAGACTAATCTACAGTTAGACCACTGTAGGAGTTGAGAGTAGATCAAAAATACTTTTTTCTTAAGGTCAAGAGAAAAAAATGGCCATATTTGCTTTTTGGTAATATGGGTACAATTTGTTTTATTGATAATTTTGTATTGGTTACTTAAAATTGTTACCATTTGACCAGTGAAAGAGCTGGTATCTTCAATATTGGTCAGAGAGAGATTTCTGGAGGATTT